ATCTGCCTGGATTGAAACCACCTGGTCTTCTGACTAGCAGAACGTTCATAGTTTTAGTTGGTCCTCTTGACCATCGTTTGTGTTGGTATCAGAAACAACGTTTCACCAAACTTTGTGCATTGATTTTTTATTTCTGGTCTCAGAAACTGCATGTTTTGCTTTTGGCCCAGCGTGTGATCGTCAGCTTTGTGCAGTGACAAGGTTTTGATCTTTGTTCCTGTTTTTACACGAATGATTTTAGATCAAAGACGAGAACAAAGTGAGCAGCAGCGGTGTAAGTAAATTAATTGATCTTTCTCTTCAAGTTCGGACTTGGACAATCAAAGTTTTACATAAACTTGTCTCTATGCTGATGTCGTCTGTAAACACGAGTTAACGTTTTGATTCTTGTGGGCAAAAAAACGGGCTTTGATTTGATTTTTTTCCAGTTCTCATCCTCGTTCTGTTTTTCTTTTATTAGTCAGAAAGTGACGGGCTGACGAGCCGAGCCAAGTCCGTTCCAGCTTTAGATCCTGGCAGAGGTTTATTCAGGGCAAAAAGTCCGGCGTCAGTGTCCGCACAGTCAACTGGCCGTTTCAGGAGTCCCTCCCCACAAAAAGTTCGGACCTCACTTCAAGTCCCGGAACGCTTGAAAAGCCCTGAACCACAGCTGAAGACAGCAGCTGAGTTTAAGAGCCCCGAGCATCTACAAGCTCCTCCAAGTCCAGAACCAGGTTTTAACAGCCAGCAAGGACCAAATAGGACCATCTGCAAAAGCATGGTCAATGGTTCAACCAATGGGAATGGTTTTCCTGCAAGTACCTGCACCAGTTCAGTGGATTCTGTAGATGACCCTGGACTGACCTACAAGAAAGAGGTGAACGTGGTCCGTCGTGTTGCAAGGAAGGTCTTACCCACAGAAGAGGAAGAAGAACAAAAATTACCCAAAGCTTCAGCAGGAGCAGCGTCGTTAAAGGCCCAATCCATGTCAGGATTCTCTTTTAAGCATGACATCATCAAAACGGACAGCAGAGATGACTTCACGCGAGGACTTACAAACATGATGGTCAGAGGCAGGACCAGGGAACCTCGCCCACGAATACACAAAGATGAAAGAGCAGAAAAGGTGGAGCTAGAGAAGAAAGATGAAGACAATAAAAATGTTGAGCTAGAGGAGAAGAAAAAGGAGCAGAAAGAGATCAAACCCTCTCGGATATCACAGGACATAAATCAAAGTCCTACAAACTCTGGTCTAGTTGTAAAGGAAGTCACATCAGCTTCTGTGGATGCCCCCAAAGCTTCTTCCAGATTCTCTCGCCCACAACCTCAGTCTCTCTCACCAGCTGTGGGCTTTATTCCAGTACCCAAGCCTACACCCTTTACTCCACGTCCTGTTGTCAGATCTACACCCATCAAATCCCCTACGACTCCACCTTCCCAAAAGCCTTCTTCAGGGGTCACCCCAGACCCTAGCCTCCCTCTGCCTGCAGTTGGTATTAGTTCTGGTCCCATAAGCCCTTCACCAGGACTTCTTGTTCAACTACCAGATGTTGGTCAGAAAGAGGTAGAGTCTGTTTTGAACTTGTCCCTTGTAGACCTATTGTGTTCCAGAATGCCTGCTGAAGACTAACCCTCACATGTTAACTGGTCTTCTCATTTAAACTTGGTTGGATCATCGCTGCATGCAGGAAGGTCGTTCCTGGTAACGCTGCGACACAGACGGAGCATGACGTCCCAGAATCGTTTTTTCATTTGTCCATCACTGTTACAAACAGCTCCATGGTTATATTCTGACTGACTTGTTAATTTAACTCCTTCAGTGACAGAATTTGTGCACAGTCTGTCACTGCGCCAGGTCCCCCACGCGAACACCACCCACCACCCAGAGCCGTGCCCTCAGTCCACCGAGGGTTTCAAGTAGAGATAGTATTATGTGGGCGATGGGCCCAGGGTTCCTGTCAGGGTCTGTGTCCAGGCTTAGCAGTGGCTAAGCACAGGGTCACAAGGTAGGGTTATGGTCAGGGGAAGGTTTAAAGACGAAGGTCAGACGACTAAGTTTAGAGAGACTGGGGTCCTGGGTTAAGTTTAGGGTCAGTAGTCCGATTTAGGGTTCGGTTTAAGGTCAGAGGTCAGACGGTTAGGTTTAGGGGAAGGGGTCTCGGGTTAGGTTAAGGGTCAGGGGTTAGGTCCATCACTGGCTACAGACAAATGGCTGCACAGTTATATTCTGACTGACTTGCTAATTAACTCCTTCATGTGTTGTGTGTTCTGCTGAACTGACCACTAACGGTTTTACTGGTGTTCTGTCAGTATTTAAACATTTTACCAAAGCTTTGTTAAAGACCAAAAAGGATTTTTGTAAACCCTTTAAAGTATTTAAAAGTGAAAACATGAGAGTTTTAACTTGACAATAAAAGTTCATCACGGTTGTTTTATTTGTTGTTGGACTAAAACAGGTCTCTGTTGAAAATGAGTCCTCGTGACTCAGTGACACCAACCTCTTAGCCAAAGGTCGAATGAATGAAAACGGAGAGCAAAGAAACGGTAGAATAAAAAGTACTCGTTCTGTGTTTATTAGAGTACATCTGGTGTAATCTGGATTAGAGCTGCGTTCTGTTCGGCTGCTGCTGATAATGACGAGTAACAAAGATGGTGCTGAAGTGACGACTCCTCGGTTTGATCCAGAGATTTTTTGGTCATTTATAATAATAATAATAATAATGTCATCACAATGTCAGCACTGTATGTTTCCATACAATGGCGAAATTAGTCTCTGCATTTAACCCATCCACCACCAGGTGGTGCAGTGGGCAGCTATTGAAAGCGCCCGGGGGACATTTTGGGGATGAGGTGTGCTGCCCAAAGACACCACGTGATGTGCAGTGACTGGGGATCGAACCTGGGACTTTTGGGTCCCAAGCCGGCTGCCCTGCCTCTACACCATCTCGGCCCCTTATGGACCTAAAACCAGGAGTTGTTCTCTCAACTCACAGACATTGTTAGACATTATTCTTATGTTATAAACCTTGCTATTGGTGTCAAATGTAATTCATTCCAAAAGTGTCTAAAGTTCAAAATAAGTCCTGAGGGGTTTGATCCAAGGGCAGCAGGAGGGTTTACAAAATAAATGTCTGGTCTGAGCGTTCAAAATTCAACAAAAGTTAAATAAATAAAAAACTTGTTTAGATAAATGACATAACTCCTTTAGATACTGAATGAAAATAATTGAATTTAAACAGTTGTAAATGAAAATATAGCAGTATTTGGAAGAATGTTTTTACATTTAATGAATTTCTTTTTTAAATTTGATTAAATTACCTAATAAAGAATAACAATTAGAAGGCTTAAAGACGTGACCTTGTTTGATTTTTGAATGCTTAATAATTTTAGTTAATTAGTGAAGAGCCTACTTCCTTCTCTGAAGGTCCTTCCAGAGAAGTGCTGGTGTGTTTCTGATCATAATTGCAATAACAGAATATCTTATTTGGCATCAATAACCCTGCAGTGTGTAACAAACACGTTTATGTTCTGCTTTTTCTGGAGAAGATTTTGCTGAAGGGATCAGGTGACGGTTGTTTGTTTCTTCTGCTCCTTGTCAATTATGTACCAACAGATAGTGAATACTTGTTCCCTCTCGTCAGATACGGTGTTTATTTCTTCTTAACTTGTAGTTGGTGCAAAATGTGGGACTTTCTAGAAGCCTGCAGGCTGCACTGGATCCTGTTTCTGGTTTTAAACATCCAGTTTTGAACTTCCAGTTTGCTGTACGTGTTGTGTAAATCATACGGCTTTGCAGAAATTAAAAAATGAAGTAGCATTATGTGTTTGTAATATTCAGTGTTGCAGATGATGTCCTGTTGTATCTTCATGCTTATCAGCTGTTGTGTGTCACGTGTTGCTCATATGTCTGTGCCTTTTGACTTCCTGATGCTGCCAAACCTTCCAGGGCTGCGTGAAGGAGGATCCTTTAGCCTCGTTCCAGGCTGCACGTGTTGCAGATAAACAACCCCAGGTGTGCTGTGTGCTGTGCCTGACTGCCGTTAATGCACCGGCTCGTCACACAATCACCTATGGCCTGCTCTGAAATGCATGCTTTCATTACAACAGTAGAGACATTCAGTTAAGAGTTGTGTCCTAACTTTTTTTAGTTCACAATTAAAACTGAGCTCACTTTTTATTATTCTTTTCACATTTGTGTACAATGTGTTCATCAAGCTTTAGTGCAGGTTTTGTTTTCAATGATTCAGGGTCCAGTTATAAAAAGCCAGTACCTCTCTGAGCTGGGGCTGTTGGAGACCTAACAGTGTGAGAAAAAAGTTCAAGTTTTAGCTGCAGTTTCTCTCAGGTCTGACAGTTTGCGACCAACTGACCAGTAGACGTGTCAAGGCGAGCAGTTTTCAGCATGTGCAATGCTTTAAAAACCATACTCCAGTTTGTGCACGTGATTTCATTGTCCACGTCGATCCACATGAAACCCGCCTCGGCTCTCTTTGACAGTAGCTGCCCCCACCTTCAATGAATGTGCTGAAGTGCAGTTTAGACATGAAGATGGTCATCGTTAGACCATTTTTTTCTACATGAATAATCTTCATCGTAGTTGCTGTTCTGAAATGTTTTCTGTCAGAGGAGAATCCTCTGCAACCGTCCAAGGTTTCGAGCTCGAGCTGCTGCGACACGAAGAAGCTGAGAACTTCTCTGCAAACGTTTGCAGGCCTTTTGAAACAGCCGAAATGAAAATATCAAATGCTGTTCGCCCCAACAGTCGCTGCTCAGTGAGGTACTAATGGCTGTAACTGGACCCCCCCCCACACACACACACACGGCTTGCGTTGTTGTTCTGAGTGGACCTGACGTTCTTCACACACCTTCCTGCCTCAGCATCCTGACAGACTTGTTTTTGTAACCTTATCGCATGTGCAGGTTCAAACTGAAGATACCGTGTGGCTTCAGAACTGCTCGAGGTGACAACATGTGCATTAAAACCTTCTGCTGTCTGAGTCTTGAAGTGTTTGTCGTTTCAGGTGAAGACCGAGGAGCAGATTGCAGCGGAGCAGGTCTGGTACGGATCAGAGAAGGTCTGGCTTGTTCATAAAGATGGCTTCTCCCTGGGTGAGACAGAAGGTTTATTTTAAAACATCTTTGGATCATAGGTTAACACGTGCTTACTGATTTTATGGAATGTTACGTCATCCGGTGATTTTCACCTAACTTCTTCTGAACAGTAACTATTGAGTTTCTTGTGGATCGTTTAATCCCTGTCCCCACATCGGTCTCTGCTCTCTGTCTCTGCTCTCTGTCTCTGTCTGTCTCTGTCTGTCTCTGTCTCTGTCTCTGACTCTGTCTCTCGTGGTTTCATCACAGTGTCTCATTTTATTTTGAAATTAATTCAAAGATCAAGGACAGTATATAATAAATATGTATTAAAATGATAATTTCTAAAAATATACAATAGAAAATGCAACTTATTTCTTTAAAACAATAATTAGTAACTAAATTTGTGTTGCATGTAGAAACATATGGTTCTCCATGATGGAGCCACAGGGTTTGATGTGAAGTAAGTTTAGTGTTTTAGCTGGAACTCACTCAGGACCAGACACTAAGGAGGCTGAGACACAGCAGACCCCCCCATGTGTTCCCGTCAGACGGGGTCAAAACGCCTAACGTCCCTGTTCTGTCTGCAGCTACTGTGGTGAAGACCGAGGCTGGCTCTATGCCAGAGGGAAAGATGAAAATCAAACTGGAGCATGATGGGACGTTACTGGATGTGGATGAAGATGACGTAGAGAAGGTGAGTGGAACACCTCTGTCACAGTGCAGCTCAGATTTACAGCCACTACAGAAATGATCTGGAAGTCTCCTGAACATGCACTAATGCATCTGACAAGATCTCTACGAAAGGACTTCACACGTAACATTTATAATTTGACCAAACGGCTGTTTCTCCATCATCTCTACTATAAAAAGATCTTCATTTAAACTCCAGCAGAAAATGGTGGAGCACCACTCTCTGCAGAGCTTTTCTTTCTGCAGCTGTGCAGCCTCCATGTTGATGCTGGAGCACAGGATGCTCTCCACTGCACACCTGTAGAAGGAGGTGAGGACTGAGCTTCCAGACCAGCTCGTCTCAGCCGTCTGAGGAAGTAGAGTCTCTGATGATATTTCTTCATCAGGCTGGTGGTGTTGTTGCTCCAGCGGAGGTTGTTGTTCAGGTGTTCACCCAAGTTCTTGTAGCTGGAGACCACTTCCACTGCAGATCCTCTTATGTTCGGGAGGTGTAGGTGTGTTTGTTCCTTCTGAAGTCCACGACCATCTCCTTCGTCTTCTTCACGTTGATGTGAAGGTTGTTCTTCCTGCACCAGCTCTCCAGGTGTTCCACCTCCTGCCTGTATCTGGACTCATCGTTGTTTGTGCTGCATCCACCAGTCCAACATTTTGAAACATGACTTTAACGTAGAGTCTCTGCAAAGATGCCAACGAATCACAAGTTGGCATCTGTGTTCAGTTTAGTGGAGATCTGTGATTCTGAAAAAGAAACCCAAGTTCAGGTTCTAACTCTTAGTGACTTGTAGATGAACCAGCTTCCCTGAAATCTTTGTCCCTCTGCAGGCCAACCCTCCATCATACGACCAGTCAGAAGACCTGGCTTCACTGCTCTACCTGAGTGAATCCAGCGTGCTGCATTGCCTGAGGCAGCGCTACGGAGGCAACCTCATCCACTCCTATGCTGGACCCAACATGGTGGTCATCAACCCTCTCAGCACACCGTCTATGTACTCTGAGAAGGTGAGGAAACACCTCGAGCCCACAGGACTCTAATGTACCTTTAGTTAGAACCTGCAGGATCTTAATGATTGACACTCTGTCCACCAACAGGTGATGCACATGTTCAAAGGCTGTCGGAGGGAGGACACTGCTCCTCACATCTACGCCGTGGCCCAGTCGGCCTACAGGAACCTGCTCACCACCCGCCAGGATCAGTCCATCGTGCTGCTGGGAAAATCAGGCAGCGGCAAAACCACCAACTGCCAGCACCTTGTCCAGTACCTGGTCTCAGTGGCTGGAAGCACAGGCAAGATCTTCTCTGGTTGGTTTTCACCAAGAAGAAACGCCACAACACATTGACACCTAAATTATGCTGTGTCATTTTATTTGTTTGTTTGATTTATTTTAAAGTGGTGAGTCATATTTAGCTTATTGTTCCGACACACGTTCAAAACTGGATGGATTTAACACAACACATGTCAACATGTCAACATGTCAACAAACAGACGTCTCAAGTGTGGAAGAGCAGAAATTATTCAAACGTGACAGAAGTTTTCTTACAGAACATACATGTAACATGTATATACATTATAACATGTGGGTGTGTACCGTATATATGTATGTATAGAACCAGTTGGCAGGACCAGTTCTTGAAAGAGTCCTGGTTCTGCCAAACTTCTGTCCTTTGATCGTTATGAGCAGCACTGAACTGTGAGGAACCTTCAGAGCAGCAGAGATGTTGTGGAAGTCTTCCTCATATGTTCCCTGCAGTAATCCTGCCTCTGAGCTCTGCAGGCCCTGCAGCTGTGTTCACATACCACTTCATGTCAGCGTGACGTCCTCCTCTCAGCCGGGGGTCTGTGGTAGAGGAGGGTCAGACTGCCTGACGGACAGTTTGAATATGCAGTTTTCAGTTTTCAGTAAATATTCAGTTTTCAGTTTTCAGTTTTCAGTATTCAATAAGTATTCAGTATTCAGTTTTCAGTATTCAGTATTCAATAAGTATTCAGTATTCAGTATTCAGGACCTGTACTAGGTCTGGAAGGAACTCTGGTGTCACTGCAGCTCCGTGTGTCATGCTCAGGTGTCTCATGTTCCTCCGTTAGCCTTGTGTTCATAGAGGTTCCCTCTCTTCATGGTGGACATGAGGACAGATCTTCAGCCTTCCTCCTCCAGAACAAACCTTCTGATGATCTTCTTCCTGTGTGAAACAGCTGAGAAGTGGCAGGCGGTCTACACCATCCTGGAGGCGTTTGGCAGCAGCTCCACTTCCATGAACTCCAACGCCAGCCGCTTCTCTCACGTGGTGTCTCTGGACTTTGACCAGGCGGGTCAGGTGGCCTCTGCCTCCATCCAGGTACCACACACCTGACGGACCCGTTGAGAACCTCGAGCTTTGTGAGGCGTGCACAGTAACCACCGTGTGTTGTCCTGCGTAGACCATGCTGCTGGAGAAACTGAGGGTGAGCAGAAGACCTGCAGCAGAGTCCACCTTCAATGTGTTTTACTACATGATGGCTGCAGCGGACAGCAGTTTGAGGTGAGCAGGGTCTCGAACACTCGCACACGGCACCTCCACAGTTCAAAGGGCAACCATGTTTGTCTCTGTGTGTTTTCATGACCAATGTGTTAAGAAGCAGTAGTTAACCTGTGCAGGTGTCGGTACTTTTACAACCGACGAACCTTTGAAGTCCAGACTTTCAAGGTGACCCCTCAGGTAAGGGCGCTTAGTGGACACATCAGTGCTACCACTCAGTTTCAGAGATATGGAGCTAAGGAGGGAGGCGGGGAGAGACTGTGGTAAGGCAGCTGATTTGGGACAGAAAGTTGCAGGTTTGATTCCCCACCATGCCCATAAGTCTTTGTGTCCTTGAGCAAGACACCTATTCCCTAACCTCTCCCCTTTTACTTGAAAGGCTGCCCACTGCTCCACTGACTTCCTGTTTTTGTTGAATCTTTTTGACTTTATAGGTTTAGATGTCCGAACTTAATTTTTGTTAAATGTGCTCCAGTATTTCGTGTTGACGTAAAATTAGCCTTAGTTTAATTAATACTCCTCAGAGGAGTGTATTTCCTTACAGTGAAGGATGAATTTCTTTCTGCGGCTCATACATGATCAGCTCTGTATCCAAACCTCACAGGATGTGTTGATCAATGATCTTCTGATCAGATCAGCTGACATGATTGACAAGTGGCACGTGTTCTCCAGTTTTGATGCAAAGGTCTGAAGCTGTGATGCCAGTTGGCGTCAGCAGGTGGTGCAGTTGGACTGTTGGTGTCTTGTCATGCTGAGCTGTGAGACATCATGAGAACATCTGCACATGACACTGTACCGGAGCAACATGTTTC